AGGTATCCAGAGGATACATAGGAGGAGTGGTGCCCAAGGCAGAACAACCTTTAATGAAACTAACCAGCTACGATGAATCACATTATTGCATTGTTTGATTTGTCAAAAAACCAAAGGAACTTGTGAGAGAAAGAAGGCAGCACTTAATGTATATTTCACCAAAAAGGCTTTCCTAGAAGGCATTGCGACAAGGTCAATGAAAAATGTTAGAGAAAAATTTCATATCATATTTCATATTTAAATTTGTTCCCTCAACAACGGTCAATTTTATTTAAGAATCAAGGGTTTTTAGAGTCTTTGAAAACCTAGATATATAAGGGATTCATAAATGTGTGAATTCTCGACATGGTCATGAAAGTCTTGAAAATTAATAAAATGTGATTGATTGATTGATTGATTGATTGATTGATTGATTGATTGATAAATAAATAAATTATTGAATGAAATAACATTTCTATTAAAGAATATACATTTTCTAACTTTGTCAAGCTGTTATCAGATATAAATTACTATTTATATTTATATTGCAATAAAATAAAATAAAATAAAACAAAACAAAACACTGTAATCACAAATGACTTGAAAAGTTGTGTAAATTCATGGATAATAAAAAATCGGGAATTATGGAATTATTAGAATTATTTATAATTGTTATTTTTAATCATTTTAATTAAACATCATTATTATATATAATTGAACTATTTATTTACACAAATTTAAATGGCCACTCCTAGTTTCTTTAAAGGGGTCATATGATGCGATTTCAAGTTTTCCTTTCTCTTTGGAGTGTTACAAGCTGATTGTGCATAGATATATCCCTGAAGTTGCGCAGAATATAGTCTCAAAACCAAAGAGATATTCTTTATCAAAGTTAAGACTCTGCCACGCCCCCCCTAAAACGGCTCGTTCTAACACGCCCCCACATATCTACCTCACTATCTGGAAATATTTGCATAATGCCGCCCAAATGTTCACGCAAAGAAAGAGGGCGTGGTTTCGGTAACCGCCATTAGTGTTGAAGCAGCCATGTCAGGGAGACGCTGTGTGTTTCTAGGCGAAAGCAAAAGCACTTTATTTGGCCTTCCGAAAGTAGATGCATTTAGGAATCTTTAAGATTACTTACAACAGAACAGCAATGCATTTTATGGACGACCGTTTCGTGAACCTAGGAGAGGAGGTAATTCTGACTTTGCTATGACAATCTGGCGCTTCTGAATCAGCTACTGTTTTGTTATTAGTTGAAGTATTTGCTATTGACTGTTCAAATGCGGAGTTTTGCGCATTGTGTGTGTGTGCGCGAGTGAGCGAGCGAGAGAGAGAGAGAGAGAGAGAGAGAGAGAGAGAGCGGTGTATGTGTGTGCGTGCGTGCGCGCGTGAGCGAGAGTGAGAGATTGGTGTGTGTGTGTGTGCGTGCGCGAGAGAGAAAGAGAGAGAGAGAGAGAGCGTGAGAGAGCGTGAGAGAGCGTGTGTGTGAGGCAAACACATATTCATCACTGTGTCTGTCACGAGACTCTGTTCCCCTTTCGGGCTCTGTCTTTACATTTATTTTGAAAGCTGAAGCTCGCGATTATGGTAAGGGCCGTTACATTTCCGACGAGTGCTTGCAGTGCTCGGCCAATCACAATGCACTGGGTCAGCTGGTCAATCAGAGCAGACTGCGCTTGTCGGAAGGAGGGACTTTGTAGAAAACGAAGCGTTTGAGAGAGGCGGGGCATAGAGGGCTTACAATAATGTACAGTATTTGAAAAATAATGTTTTTTGAACATTAAAGCATGTCAACATATTCTGTTACACCAAATACACAAAATAATGATCTTTAAAAAAGCATCATATGACCCCTTTAAATAAAAAAGTTTGAAAATAAGCAGTTTTGTCATTATAGCAGAAGTATTAGAAATATCTTTAGGGGCCTTCAAATATCGTCTTTGACAATGAGGGGCCGGGCCTGTATTAGAGCATTACGTCGTTAGCTTAGCAATACGCTAACATCAAAATTAGTCGGAATTAAATAATTTCACATGCAGTTCCTGCTTATGTAGAACAGTTCAAATACACTGTATAAGGTTCTATTTCAGTGAGGATGCTGGCTCACAAAGCAGCTGACTATGTAGACTGTAGTCAGCAGAGTTGCTCACTCGATTGTGGATCTCCTTTTTGTGTTTGTACCTCGTGGTTTGTGGCAGGCGACGGGGACCAGGCAGTCCTCTTTGATATGGGGTTTGAGGTGAGGACTGCAGCCGCCAGTATGTTGTCCACTGTGATCCACACACAGCACCACTCTGTACCGCAAACCTGGGCCGCAGGTGACCGTGCACTGGATAGCACAGATAAAAAACACAAACAAATACATATTTCATCAAAAATAGAGGGGAAAAATATCATATTGTGAAATATTAATTCAATTTAAAATGACTGTTTGCTATTTAAATATATTTTAAAATGCAATTTATTCCTGAGATATAAAGCTGAATTTTCAGCAGCCATTACTCTAGTTTTTAGTGTCACATGACCCTTCAGAAATCTTATATTATCATATATTATAATTCTAATATTATATAATGTCTATTATATTATATTATATATGTTTTATTAGATAACATCTAATATTCAGAATATTCATACTAATACACTGATTTAGTGCTAAAGAAATATTTCTTATAAAAATGACAAACACACAAAACAAAATTACAAGAACTTTAACTAAAATTCAAGTGAAAACAGAAAATATAAAAATAAAAACCAATTTAAAACATTAATAAAAAAAATGCATCTCAATAATACCAAAATAATCTGCTTTATGGTTTATTATCAGTTGAAAACAATTATCAACTATTCAACTATTATCAAAAACTATCTTTAATGTCACTTTTAATTAAGAAAATAAAAGAAAATAGATTCAAGTAGTGGAGCAGGTATAATACCTCTGTTCCGATATATATATAAATAAATATAAACATCAAATAAATATAGTCATAAAGAAAGACTACTCATTATGATGTCACTATTTTTTAGCTTACTAAAATATTGTGTCATCAGCTTTACAATATATGTGTCACGGGTTGCTGGGGAAAGGAGCTCGAAGGAGTACGAAGGAGGCAGATAGTCAAACTAACAGAGTCTTTAATAAATCCACGTGGGAGAAATGGAGAAAACCACCACTTTCAAAGACGGAGACAGGACAAAGAAACTGAGGAAAGGCAGGGCTATAAATACTAAACCAAACGATGGACTAATAAGATGATTAATGAACACAGGTGGAAACTAATGAACTAATCAAGGGGACTAAGGGAAACTAGGTCAAAGAAGGTAGAACAGAAATACAGGAAAATCTAAACCATAACAGAACATAAACGTGACATGTCGCCCTGCTCCCGGAAGGCGCGTCCTGAAAATACTAAACCAAACGATGGACTAATAAGATGATTAATGAACACAGGTGGAAACTAATGAACTAATCAAGGGGACTAAGGGAAACTAGGTCAAAGAAGGTAGAACAGAAATACAGGAAAATCTAAACCATAACAGAACATAAACGTGACATGTCGCCCTGCTCCCGGAAGGCGCGTCCTGCGCCATAACAGTTCCAACGGGGAGGGGGGGGCGTCCTGGAGGCTGGTGCAGGGCAGGAACAGGGCGGAGACAAGGAAGGCCTCCAGGGCAGAGCAGGCAGCTCGGGGAGCCATGGCAGAGTAGGGAACACAGAGGGCCATGGTGGATCAGACAATTCAGGAGGCCAATGCGGATCCTCCGTGACCTTAGCTGGCTCGGCCGCCACGGGCATATGGCCCCCCACCAAAATTTTCTTCTGGGGGACATTCTGGAGGAGCGGGCACTTGAGGGCGCTCTGGAGTAGCGGGCGCTGGGGGGCACTCTGGAGGAGCGGGCGCTGGGGGGCACTCTGGAGGAGCGGGTCGCTGGGGGGCACTCTGGAGGAGCAGGGCTGGCTAACTCGGGGGACTCAGGAGACGAAGGAGGGCTGGACGGGCCAGTGGAGGTGTAGGAGACTCAGGAGACGATGGAGAGCTGGACGGGACCAGCGGAGACGAAGGAGAACTTTCTGGAGCGGATTCTGGGGTGAGGATCGGAGCCGTGAACTCTGGAGGTAGCACCATGTCCAAGAGCGCTGAGTCAGCGGCTTGACGTAGGAGAGGCTGGCGGGCTTGACGGCGAGCTGGTTCTGGATTGCAGCCGAACGCTCTCCAGACACCGGAGGATCCCTTCCCTCCAGCTTAGTCCAGTGGTGTCTGGGAGGTCCACAGGGTGATAGTAATTAGCCCCGATCCAGAACAGTGAGTTGAGCGTGGCGTCGTCCAAAGCCGTCGCCGTGGCTAAGCCGGCGAAATAAGCAGCAATTTCCATGATCGCGGGGGAAAAACTTTCAACAAACGAAAAATAAAAAACGGGGAGAAGGGGCGCCGCTTACTATTTTGTCTGTCCCGTCTTCTATCACGGGTTGATGGGGAAAGGAGCTCGAAGGAGTATGAAGGAGGCAGATACTCAAACTAACAAAGTCTTTAATAAATCCACGAGGGAGAAATGGAGAAAACAACCACTTTCAACGATGGAGACAGGACAAAGAAACTAAGGAAAGGCAGGGCTATAAATACTAAACCAAACGATGGACTAATAAGATGATTAATGAACACAGGTGGAAACTAATGAACAAATCAAGGGGACTAAGGGAAACTAGGTTAAAGAAGGTAGAACAGAAATACAGGAAAATCTACACCATAACAGATCATAAACGTGACAAAATGCTATATGCTGGAATCAGCTTTGAGCATTAAATCTCATTCAGTTCATCATGAACAGAGCTGCTGTCTATGAAAAGTGTTTCAAATCAGTCACTCACATGATTTTATTTAGGTTAGGACACAGAAACAGCTTATTAGTTTGTAGAACAGAGCTATAGATGGTCAATGGTCATCAGAAATGGAAGAAGAGTTCAGTAAAGGTCACTTACCTGAGACCATTCCATGGCCATCCACTGCGGACACTCAAAGGTGTTGCAGCTCTCTTTGCTGATTGGTCGAGGGGAGTGTGCGCACTTCCAGTCCTCCACCTGCACGATCTGCCCGTGGATGTCCTCCTCGACACACACCACGCTTCTCTCCTGAGAGCCTCCTCCACACGACACCGAACACGACGTCCACGGGTTCTGCTCCCACCTGCAGCAATATTACACAAGTCATATTTAGTAGATAAGTAGTAACTTATATTAGTAATCTAGATAAGTAGTAACTTTATGTTATGAAATATGGTGTAATAATGTAAAAGTGTCAACAAGACTAAAAACAGAATTATTGTGAAATATTGTCACATGATCGTTCAGAAATCATTCTAATATGCTGATTTGCTGCTCAAGACATATTTCTGATTATTATCAATGTTAAAAACAGTTGTGTTGCTTAGCATTTTTGTGCAAACCATTTTTTCAGGACATTTTGAAATAAAATAAACGTTAACTGAAATAATATATATATATACTGTACAGTGCCTTACAAAAGTATTCATTTTTCGCGTTTTGTTATGTTGCTGCCTTATGTTAAACTGCTTTAAATTACTTTTTTTCCACATCAATCTACAATCCATACACCATAAAAAACAGGTTTTTAACATCTTTGCAAATTTATTAAAAATAAAAAACTTAAATAATTCCATTGCATAAGTATTCATTTCTGGGACAGTTGAAATTTAGCTCAGGAGCATTCATATTGCTTGTAGATGTCACTACACTTCAAGTGACGTTAACCTGTGGCAAATTCAATTGAATGGGTATGATTTGGAAAGGCACAAACATCTTAATAAAATATCTAACAGCTGATTATGCATATCAGAGCAAAAACCAAGCCCTGAGGTTAAAAAAAAAACGGCCTGTAGAGCTCGGAAACAGGTTTGCGTCAAGCCACACATCTGTGGAAGAGTTCAGAAAAAAAAATGAACACAGAAGCATGTAGTCTCTGTTACCCTTAATAGAAGAAGTCTGAAGTCTGAAGTCTCTACTTGAGCTCCATGATCATATGTGGAGACAGGAGAAACCTACAGAAGGACAAACATCACTGCAACACTCCACCGATCCGGTCTTTATGGTGGTGTGGTCAAACTCAATCCTCTCCTCAGTGAAAACACATGAAAACACACTTGGAATTTACAAAAAAGCACCTAAAGGACCCTCAGACTGTGAGAAATAATATTCTCTGGTCTGATGAACCTCAATTTCAAGCATCATGTTTGAAGGAAACCAGCTCTGCTCATCACCTGCAGAGTACCATCCCAAAAGTAAAGTGTGCTGGTAGCAGCCTCATCCTGTGGAGCTGTTTTTCAGCGGCAGGGGCCGAGGGACTCTCCCGAAGGAATGCTCAAGGCACCAAAATATAGAGATAGCCTTAATGAAAACCCAGTCCAGAGCATTCAGAACCTCAGATAGGGCAGAAGGTTCACCTTCCAACAGGACAATGACCCTTAGCACACAGCAAGAGTGGCTTATAGACAACTCTGTGAATGTCCTTGAGTGGCCCAGCCAAAGCCTGAGCTTGAACCCAATCAAATAATTCTGGAGAAACCTGAAATAGTGCGTCTGCCCCCATCCAACCTGACAGAGCTTGAGAGGTGAAGAGGTGAGGAGAGGAAGGGCAGATAATTGCCAAATGCTGATTAGCAAAGTTTGTCGCATTATACTCAAAAAGGTTTGAGGCTTAAAGGCACTTCAGCTAAATATTTAGTTAAGGGTATGAATACTTATGCAATATATTTATTTCAGTTTGAGTAGAAGAAAAATTCTGTTTTTGCTTTGTTAATATGGTGTATGGAGTGTAGATTGATGTGGAAAGCAGTTTAACATAAGGCAGCAACATAA